AGCCCGGGTCTGGAGGCGCTATGGAGGGGAGCCCCATCCCGGTGCTGACGGTGCCCACGGCGCCCTACGAGGACCAGCGGCCGACGGGCGGCGGGGGGCTGCGGCGGCCCACCGGGCTCTTCGAGGGCCAGCGCAACTACCTGCCCAACTTCATCCAGAGCGTCCTGTCGTCCATCGACCTGCGCGACCGCCAGGGCTGCACTATGGTGGTGGGCAGCGACGGCAGGTACTTCAGCCGTACGGCCACCGAGATCGTGGTACAAATGGCCGCGGCCAACGGGGTGAGTGACCGCGCCGCCGCCACCCACTCTTCTCCTCTCTCAGGCCCCCGCCTGCCTGCTAGTCCTGTTGGGGCGGTCCTCCCCCTCCAGCAGCCCACCGCTGCCACGCTCTTGACGCACCCGGAGACCCCACCAGGAGTCCTCAGGGTCCCCCACCGTTCTTGGAGCCCCGCTGGGCATCCGGAACCCGCACCCCCCTGAATTCTTCCCTCCTCTCCAACTACCCGCACCTGCTTTATTATTACTATTATTTTTGGTATTGATAGCTTTCTCCCCATCCCTTTCTATTCCAGAGTAGCGCTGGATTTTAAATGTGCCTTCCAACAAACAGTATCACTTCCCACCCTCCCATACGGAGGACTTCTTACATAGACTTCCAACATCCTTCATTTAGGCCTACTTTGCAATCATCTTCTTTCCCCCTAAATCTTGGTTCTGCCAAGTTTAACACTAGGATTGTCTCAGTAAAACAACAACAACAACAACAACACACACACAAACACACACGTTGGTCCCTGACATAATTGGCAAGAGTGATCCCTGACGATTTTAATACCATTGGATCATTAAGTGCCATCCAGTGGTCCCTGTGTTGGCCTTCGGAGGAGTGGCTGGTGAGTTTGAACAGCTGACCTTGTGGTTAGCAGTCCAGTGCTATCTTACATTACCACACCAGGACTCTATTAGCCACTGGAAATTATTTAGTGTTTCATTTGATTTGGAGGTGGGGGGTGGTGGTAGATCATTTTGTAGCTGTTTCATAGCCCTGACTCCGGGGTGCAGAGAGAGGGTATCTGTAAATGATCTTAAATGAGATTCTCCAGCTCTCCGATGATGACTCTTGGCATTGGACAACACTTCTCCCCACGTCCCCTTTCAGATTTCACCCTTACTTCCCATCTTCCAGGGCCTCTGCAGTCTTTTATTGCAACCTGGGTTCTCAGACTCTGGGTGTTGCCCTGTCTCTCCTCTCTCCCAGGTCTATAGTAGGACCTTTGTGTGTATCCTCACAACCCGATTGCCTCCTTCCCACATTCTGCAACACTTACACGATTTCTGCAAGAGGAATCCTTGCCTTCAGGGGGTCTCTGAATTTCCAGTGGGGAAAAAACACCATGATTCCAGTCTTGTTGATGCAGTCAGAAAGACCCCAGGAATCCGTGGGGTACCCAAAGCTTAAGCCCTTGGCTGCTAACCAAAAGATTGGCGATTCCAACCCACCAGCTGCTCCACAGGAGAGCCGTGTGGCAGTGTGCTTCCGTAAAGATTGCACGCAGCCTTGGAAACCTTATGGGACAGTTCTGCTCTGTCTTGCGTTGTTGTTGTGAAGTGCCATCGAGTCAGTACCGACTCAAACTCATAGTTTCCAAGGAGTGGCTGGTGGTTTTGAACTGCTGATTCTACAGTGCCACACCAGGACTCCACTTTGCTCTGTATGGTCCCTACAGGTCAGAGTGGACACCGTGGCTCACAATAACCATAGTCAGACCCACACGCGCATCCTGCGTCTCTGGAAGTGAAATCTCTTTTGCAGATGTTTCAAGGAGTGGGGCACATCGTTAAAAGTGAAACCAAACAATTTTCTGGCACAAAGCTTCTCCCCTTCTTCCCCAGCCCCTCCTTTATAGGAATATTTTTCTATTTCTTATTGTTTTTTCTTTGTCCATTGTAATTCACAGAGCTTGATGGATGGAAAAAGATTTAAAGAACCCCCAAACCCAAAGCAACTGGTAGAAATAGGGCTGGGGTACTCCAGCAGACTAAGATGTTGGGATACAGGACTTGAATGTCTCCCTGACGCCCCATTGATGGGAGCTGACTTCTATCACGGAGTTAATGAGAGGTTATAATGGTCTTTGATTCTTGTCGAACAAGACTAAGATTCCCATGGAAGGATGGAGATGAACAAGCCTGCAGAGAGCTGGGGCCACTTCCACACCCCTTCCTGAGCCAGCTTTTCTAGGGAGCGAGAAACGTAGTCAGTAGAACATTCCGTGTGGGTCAGAATGTTTTTGAAGCCGTAGTTGTGTTGGTGACGTGGGCAAATTCTGGTTGTATTGTTTCCTCTTTACCATAAGGATGCTTCCATCTCTTCCTGAAGCGGATCTACTCTGATAAACACATCTTGTTACATTTCAGAGTGGAGTTTTATTACTTTTTTTTAGGAGATAAAAGCCGTTGCTATCAAATCACTTCTGACTTTTAGTGACCCTGTAGGGCAGAGAGGGTTTCTACAGCTGCCAACTTTACAGAAGCAAATAGCCACATCTTTCTCCCACAGAGCAGCTGGTGAGGTCTACTCGCCAACCTTTCGATTATCAGCTGAACACTTAGCTTTTGTGAGTTGTATCTGGTAGCGTAGTGGTTACGAATCGGGCTGCAAACCTTAAGGTCAGCGGTTCGAAACTACCAGCTGCTCCGCGGGAGAAAGATGAGGCTTTCTACTCCCGTAAGGATTTACACCCTCGGAAACCCTGTACAGGGTCGCTATGGGTCGGACCCGACTCGACGGCACTTAACAACAACAACAACAATCCTGTTGGTGGTGGTGTGTGATGTTGAGTCAGTTCCAACTTATAGTGACCCTGAGTAGGTTTTCTGATTTCTTCTGGATTTCTCCTTAAATCTTTAAGGGAGCAGAAAGCCTCATCTTTCTTCCTCAGAGCAGCTGGTAGAGTCGAGCTTCTGACCTTATGGTTAATAGCCCAATGTATAGCCCACTACCCCACCAGCTTCCCCCTTGCATCATATAATTCCTGGTTGTTCATGTTTCTAGGATAACAGAGTTAAGGTAACTGCCTGTATTTTCCATCATTTCCCCCTTGGGACCAGTGAGTATTCTGTGGGGTGAAGTTTGGCATCATGTGTATATTCTGTTCCTTATGATTGGTAGTTCAAGCTCACCAGCTGCTCCTTGGAAACCCTATAAAGAGTTGCTATGGGTCGGAATCGACTCGACGGCACTTAACAACAACAACAACAACATCAGTCTTTATCCCCATTCAGCAATCTTTGCCCTGAGCGAATGATTTCATATGGTTCTGACTCATAGCAGCCCTGCATAGGGTTTCCAAACCTTTATGGGAGTGGAAAGCCTCATCTTTCTCCTGAAGAGTGGTTGGTGGATTCGAACTGTGGACCTTGTAATTCGCTATCCAGTGCTTATCTTACTGAGTCACTATGCTCCTCGATGATTTCATTTTGTTGTTAAGTGCTGCTGAGTTGGTTCCAACTCACTGTGACCCTCTACAGGGTTTCTGGTTCCAAATGATGATTTCCTAATACTCAATTCATCAACAGGTTTTAGCTGACTTTTTTATATGTATATATATGTAAAGAGAGCTTTCCTACGTCGTGGGCTATTTGGTTACCATGAAATATTTTTCCTTTGCTTAATTCCCTTTTTTAATGGCCTGTTTTCAGTATAAGGCTTTGTGAGAAGTTCTGTTTGCTGTATTCATTTCCCTGGTTTTGAATAACACAGTGGATCTTGGCCTATTACGGTGAAACCTGGGAGAGCTGGAATTTGATGGGACTGCCTGGTTTTCCCTGGTTGATCTTGCAAGTCTTTTGCCTTCAATAGGGTGCTTACTGACCATGTTTCTATCGTCCGTTTTAGTGGAAAATATTTGCGTTTTCCTTCTTTGACAGGTTTCTGCCTAATACAATATCTAGTGTTCACATGTTTGATGGGATTTTTGAGTTGCATGAGTAAGTACATTGTTGCTAAGAGTCATCGAGTCTGGTCTGGCTCATAGTGACCCTTTTTAAGGTTTCCAAGGAACAGCTGGTGGGTTTGAACCACCAACCTTTGGGTTAGCAGTCCAGTGCTTATCCTACAGCACCACACCACAGTTCTAGTGAGTATGTTAGAAGATGCTTTTTACCTGTTTTTAAAGTTAATGTGACTTATGTGAATTTATCTAAAAAAACCCAAAAAATCCCTAGAGATGATTTTAATTTCCTTTTAGAGATACAGAGAAGTACTCTGTAAAATGAAAAGAAGAAAACACATTCTAAATACAAAGTTTAAGGAGCTCTGGTGACACTGCGGGTTAGGGATTGGGTTGCTAAGTCCAGGGTCAGTGGTTCAAACCCACCAGTGGCTCTGCAGGAGAAAAATGAGGTGTCTGCTTCTGTGAAAATGCACCGTCTTGGAAGCCCTATGTAGAATTGCTGTAAGTCCCATTCAACTTGATGGCAGCGAGCAAAAGTACAAAGCTTCGTTTTCAAGCCATCGGGGTCTCTCCCATTTCCACTGTCACATCTTTCTCAGGGGGTCAGGCTCTTTGAGCGCCCCTCAATTCTAACTCCTTAAGGATTTTAAGAGCGAAATGTTACCAAACATCACAAGAATGCATTCACTCCTTTCTGGGTGGATTTCTAACTCTCTAGAAACAATGGGCCCAAACATTTCATCACTTGTGAGATGGCACAGGACCGGGCAGTGTTTCGTGCTGTTGGGCACAGGATTGCTGTGAGTTGGAACCGACTCCATGGTATCTGACAACAACATCAGTTCCTCTGCATGGGCTGAGCATCTCCTTTTATTTCTCCTCTTCGTTCGAATCTCTATTTTTAGCCCTAAACTCCCTTTATCATTATTTTTGGCTTTTTATTGTGAATCGGGTGAAGGTTTACAGAACAGATTTTCCATTCAACAATTCCTGCGCATTGTGTTACGTCTCGTTGACTGCCCGCGTCCCTCTTCCTCCCTGTGTTTTAGGTTTCCAATCCTGTCTTCCTGACCCTTCTGAACTTGGTCTTTGGTTCAGTGCTGATCTTTTGATCTCAGATGGTTGATGATTCGAAGGTGTGCATAGCTCTAGTGTCTCCCATGTAGACCCATCTATTGCTTGGCTGACAGTTGAGTGTTGGGGGTGAGTTCGGTCCCAGTCCTGAAGGGGGACCAAGGGCCACAGTCTCAAGGGTTCCTCCAATCTCCTCTGACCAGTAAACCTAGTCTTTTTTTTTTAAATGATTTTGAGTTTTATTCCATA